CCCCCCCCCCCCCCCCCCCCTGCCTTTGTACCGCCAACGATTTTCGCTCTGAATCTCTCGGCGCAACGCCAGTTTCCGGTGAACGGGCTCGACCTCAGCCCGTACGTGGTGAAGGACCCAGCTAGCGGTGCTACTGGCGGTAGCGCCTCCGCCCACTTCCGTCGACAACGACAACAACAGCAACAACAACAACAGCAATCGCAGCAGCCCCGGCCACCAGACGGGGCGGGGGGGAACGCTGGGCCCCCGCCGGGTGGAGCTGATGGCGCCGTTGGTGGTCGTGCAGGCAGGGGTGCTGCTGGGGATGCTTCGCCGTCAGTGTCGGCTGTGGCAGGCGCTCGTGATGATGGAGCCACCGTCTGCCGAGATCACGCTGCCGCCGCCGCCGCGACCGCCGTCGCCTCTCCGTCGACTCTTCCAAACGGCGGCGGCGACTCTCTACCGAACGGCATGCTGCTGGTGCCGGGCAGGGAGGGCGGCGGGAGCGGCGGCGGGAGAGAAGGAGAGGGGCCGGCGGCGCTAGCGGTAGAGGGGACCGGCGGGGAAGGAGAGGGCGGCGGCGGCGGGGTCGGGGTGGGGATGACTAACCCTGGCGTCATCGGCGCAGACGTGAGAGGAAGAAGAATATTTTGTGTCTTGTGTCTTGTGTTTTGCTTGTTGTTTTTTCGAGAGAGCATGCACCTTTTGGGTTTCCGATAAGAAGCATCGTTCGGGTCGGGTTCAGGATTTTCTTTCGATATCACCATGCGACGAAGAACCCACTGCCATTTGCCATTTTGAAGTTTTCATTAGGAGAGTGCTGTGTGTGCGGGGGTTCGTTGTTCTACGATGCCTATTTCCAAGCTGCTGTGTTGCGGGGTCTGCTGCCCTGGTTCCTTTTTTGTTGTTGTTGTCTTTTGTGATGTTCCCGAACAGATTTCCAGAAGTCGAACCGATTCGTTCGTCGCGTTGATGGCTTGCAGCAGCAGCAGCTCTTGTTGTTGTCCCCGCCTGCCTTGCCCTCCTGAAATCGGCCTATCCACAGAGGGAGGACCTTGACGTGTTATTTTCCCGTCTGTTTGTCGGAGGCTGCAGCTCTGCCCTCCCCCTCGCCGTTGGTTGTGCCCGGCCGTGGTGTCTCCGTGATTGATTGCTTTTGTTCTTAAATGCCAGCCTGGATGATGAAAGCGTGTGCCAAAAGGTGTAGACTTGCACCCGACACAGATGGGGAAGAAAACACACATACAGAACGCATGCAGCGGCTGGGGCGCTCTTGTCTTTCAGCGCCACGTCCCGTCTACATTTTATTTTGAAACTAGATGCAGATTTTATTTTTGGCGCCTTTGAACTACTTTCTTTTTTTTCTATCTACACTTTTGAAAAATATCTAAATATCTCTACCCACCTTGAGTTACGCCCGTTTTTCCTACTTGTGGTGAAGTACTTTATTTGATGATGTTTTGCTTCTGCTAAAGTAAATTCTGATGGGGCCGGTGTTGTCTTCGTCGCCCTCTATTCGTGTGTGTGTGTGCGTCTTGTCCTTCCAGGGAGGGCGGGGGGGCTCCCTGTACGACCTCTACTCGGTGGTGCACCACCTGGGGGCCCTGAGCTCGGGGCACTACGTGGCCTCCGTGAAGAGCCAGCCCACCGGAAAATGGCACTACTTCAACGATGATCAGGTCAAGGCTTGTTTTTTTTTCCTTTCCCAAGGAAGGGTCAATATGGGCTTCTTTTTTTTTTCCTTGGCAAGGAGTCGTTAATCGGTCTCGCCAGTGTACTGTGATTGGCGTCTTGTTGATTGGTCTTGCTGATGCAACTGCCGTTGTTGGGGGCGTCGTGTTCTACTTCGTGTATGTATATTTTCTTCATGTTGTAGTTTGCGCCGGTGATCTCGATACAAAACCACACACCGTCCGATCCATCGTCTCCATGGTTCCGTAAAAGGAAAAACGTCTACAAAACCCGTGGTTGTCCCCCCCCCCCCGTCCGCGTTCCTTGCTTCTTTCTCCCTTCTACCGGGACGACTTGTCTTTTTTCATTTTGTTGATAAACGCCTCATCTCTCTCTTTTTCTCTTGTAAACAGGTGACCGAGGTGGACGAGGACGAGCTCGGGTCGTCGAGCTCCAGCGCCTACATCCTCTTCTACATGCGGCGGGACTGCGCGGGGTTGAGGATAGAGGACGTCTACCCTTCGGGGCCGCCCAAGACCGTCGAAGAGGTCGAGGCCCTCATGCTGCACAGAGACGCCGCGAAATGCAGAATCATGTGATTGGTTGATTGTTGCCAGGTTGGGACCTGCCGCTGGACGCGCGGCGTGTTTTTTTTTTTTCTTTTTTTTTGCGACACGGAGGGACGGGAAGAGGCCGGGTGACGTGCATGTGTATCGGGGCCGGAGGTTGACCGAGGGGTTCTGTGGGGGGCGTCCTTCTGTGTTGGTGGTGGGGAGAGGAGGATCCCCGCGCCGCCTGTCGCCTGCAGGCAGCCGTCCCGATGAAGAGTTCCTGCAGCCGTGTGTGAGGATGGGGGGGGAAAGAGGGCGTTTGTTGTTGTTGGCGTGTTGGTGTGTAGCGACAGAATGAAACGGCGCGAGACTTGCTTGGGGTATTGTTTGATGTGTTGTGTCGGGATTCGAACGGCAGCAGGTAGCAGTCACGTGTGTCCTTTTTCCCGGCATCATCGAGTGCTGAATTGTCTTGGCTTCTCTCGGACATGCGTTGCTCGTTGGGGGTGGTGCCTGGGACGATTGCTTTTTGTTTGTGGTGCTGTCGTTCTGAAGACTTGCGCAAGGCATGGCAAGCGTTCGTCCTTCTTGTCTCTTCATCTTGTGTACATACATGTTGTGTTGTATTCTGTCTTCGGGGAGGCTGGGTCGTGTTTTGTTGTTCGTGACCTAGCAGGCACTAGCCAGACCAATACAGAAGGCAGGCAGGCCCGTGGGCGCATGTTTCCGTTGCTGTTGCTGCTGCTGCTGCTGGCGCGCCGTGTATACGTTCACTCCATAGAGTAGGCTTGGTATTTCTTTTCTGTTGGCTGCTATCGGCGGCGCACTTGGTCCTAAATTATCGGCGCTGAACAATTCACGCTGCTACCCCTCTTTCGTGCCCCCGAAAATTTTGTTATGGTGTCTTTCCTGGAATAGAATGAGCATGCGGAGGACCTTTGCCGATTCGAAAACCCCAACGCGACCCCCACCACCCGCCGTTGGCTATCCATCGGTGATCGGTCGGTCCTGTGGGAACAAGGCTCCGTCCTCTCGAGGGCGCGTGGTCAATGGTCTAGCCTCTAAGGCATGCAAAACATGAGAGTACGCCCCCCACCCCCACCGCCACTGGGCAAGGGCGCCGAATCCGTCTTTCTGTGGTGGTGGTGGTGGTGGTGGTGGTGATGCGTTTACACGTAGCACGCGTGTCCCAATGTCCCGGTTTTGTCTTTGTCTTTGCCTTTGCCTTTGCCTTTGACTTGACGCAAGCGTGGCACTCACTCGAACTCCCCCCTCCCCCCTCCGCTTCGATAACGAAAAATCGTGCTGCTGCTGTCGATTGTTAGCCTTACGTGTGTTGCGAGGGAGTGAGAGTTTCGGCTATTGGGAGGTACATGTACCACCGTACCCCCGCCATCCTGTCCCGGTCCCGGTCCGCCACTGCCGTCAGCCGGTCAGGTCGGGCGGGTGTACCGCGTATTTTCATTCATTCATTCGTCGAAAATCCTTCGAAAAAAAAGCTGAAAACGTGAAGAAAAAAACTTTGGTAGCTGAAGATGAAGCACCGGAAAAGCATCAGGAGCAGAGGCGCCACACCACTACCCTCTTCGCTGGAGCGAAACGCCACAGCAACTTGAAAAGAGTTTTCTTGAGGTTGAGCTGCCTGTAACTGGCACACCCAACAAAATCATAAGCAACACGCGGGGGCGTAGATTGAGACCCCCTCTACCACTCGCCGCAAGCAATAGCTTTCTGAAGCCAACAGGTGCCCTTGACCTTTTCGTTGTTGTTGTTCTTTCTCGCCCCAAAACGAACACCCTTCGCATGGACCCATCGTGTATCTCGTCGTAACAATTGATTGTCGCCTACACACAGCGCACACGGGGTCGTCTACACGTAGACATATAGTGCGCACACGGTGGGACAGCTTTCCTTCCATCGCTAGCTATCTGGGCAACAAAGTAGCGGGTGGCGGCAGCGTCCTATTTTTCTTCTACGAAAGTCGTAGTAGTGGTTTCGCGAGACATGCATGCCACCGCTCTGAAGAAAAGGGGGCGCAGCAATCGAGTTTTGTGTCCCTTTTAACACTACACAACGGTCTCACACACCACCGGCACACCTACTAGTCTTACGGTTCCTACAGTCTACAGGAGGGGGTCAACACAGTGATGCAACGGGTGGCGAGCTTCACACATCCGAAGAAAATTTCGATACTCACGCACACGAAGATTGCACACAATCATTTCCGCGGGCTATGTGCCCCCCCCCCCCCCCCCCCCCCCC